CAGCAGCAGCAGCAGCAGTAGACACAGAAGCTGCAGTAGACATCATTGCAGAGTTGGCAGTGATGGAAACTATTTAAAACCAGAAGAACAGCCAGTCACTTCCTGTGACTGGCTGTTCTGCTTCTCGTAGCAGGAATTAACCTGATCCAGACTACTGAGGGGTCCTTGACACCTATCAAGGACCCCAATGGTAATAAGTTACTTTGAATTTTTTGGGTTATCCTGGGTAATTTACACTATTTATGACAATTGTACCTAAATAAACTTACTGAGGGTCTGATTTCATTGTCTTCCACTCTCTGGTTCATCTCTGTGCTAAATTAAGAACGGTATTGAATGTCGATCACAATAAAGATATCTAGGCATTACACGTCTTATTCAAGATCAAAACACTACATACATACTTACAGTTGTCAGGTGGGTGACAGTAGGTGAAGGTCTGTTGCTTAATTACTTTTGAAGTCTGTCAACTATCCGAGGGTTATTAATTAAAGCTGTACGTAACTTGTTCACCTTAGTTAAGAATACTTTCATCCCTAAGACAGAGATTAAAGTAAAACTCTCAGTGTATATACACAGTAAAAAACACGTCCAGTGTATAAAACTGCAAGGTTATATACAATAAGAGGTGTATATAACCACAATGTTATATACACCTCTCGGGTGACCCAACCGCTGACCCTAGTGGATTTAGAACTTAGTTTTGATTATTATAATAATAATCTCAGGTGACCCTTCACCTTCTGGGTCACAAATAAACAAGACACCAAAGCAAGAAAGATAAAATAAAATGAATAGCCAGGTTTTTATTATTATTACAGTCAAACCTAAGAGCTAAACCCACAAGGAGCCAAGCTATGAGGTGGGCACATGAGGTACAACCTCTGGATCATAGGTGGTGCTGACATGTACTCCCATTACCTGAGATTTAACAGAGGTTAGATTAGGTAATATTTGTCAGGAAACAGGACAAGTGTTTCCTGATGTGGGTCTTAAGCATATGATGACCTGCTTGAAATGCACACTATGGTAGTGACTTTCTTTTGTGCTTAACAACATTTTATTACATGTAAACTACAATTTGCATACTGTAATAATGTTCCTAGAATTACCGACAGTATGTAAAGTAAAAGGACACAAGTGCAACTAATGTGACATTTTATTGTGGCAACGTTTCGCTCTCCAGGAGCTTTGTCAAGCCGATACAAACAATATATGGACACAGAGTAACTACCACAAAAGCCATCGAGGTTATACGACGTAAAGTCAATCAGGACTTTAATCTTCCTCTACCTCCCGGAGATTTTGTTGACTTGATTGAACTCTGTGTTAATTTCAACTGTTTTTCTTTCAATAACAAACTCTACAAACAAACCTACGGCATGGGAATGGGGTCCCCCATCAGTGCCGTCCTAGCCAACTTATACATGGAACACCTAGAGTCCGAACACTTCGCAAACATCATCCCTTCAAGCGTCACTCGGTTACGTTACATGGACGACGTCCTCGTAATAACTCCCAAACGTTTTGATGTACGGAATCTTCAGGCAAGGCTCAACGCAGTTGAACCGGCGATCCAGTTTACACTAGAAGAAGAGTCCAATGACAAGCTACCTTTCCTCGACGTCCTCATTCACAAAGTAGACAACAACCTAAGATTTCAAGTTTATCGGAAACCTACCAATAAAAATGATCTCACACACTCCTATTCCAGTCAAGATACCAAGACCAAAAGAGGCATCATCATCGGGTTTTTCCTAAGAGCATACCGAATTTGTAATCCTGAGTTTCTTGACGAGGAATGTACATACATTCACCAAACCTTCACTGAGTTACATTTTCCTTCCTTTTTCATCAAAGACTGCAAGAAAAGAGCTCTTCAGATTATTAATTCTCCACGCACCAACACCACGCCCAACAAAGTTATAATTCTTCCCAACAGCCAGGTTGCACTGAACGTTTCTAAAGCACTTTCACAAGCTAACACCAGAGTCGCCATCGCTTCTAGCACTTCTATAAAGGATCTAACCAGGACAAAATCAAAGCACCATGAACCAGTCAATGCAGGAGTTTACACTATACCCTGTGGAGGCTGTGACAAGATTTATGTAGGTGAAACAGCAAGAAACCTCGACACCCGCCTCAATGAACACATTTACGCATGTAGGAACAATAACTTGAACAACGCCTGTGTACAACGAAATTCCACCAATCATCTCATGAAATTCAGAGATGCCCAATTAGTGATCAAAGAAACTAATTTCCGCAGACTCAAGTGCCTCGAATCAGCACTGATCGCTGTTTCAAATACAATTGGTTTAGAAAGACACGTAAGCAAACACTATAACATATTTATTAGAAAACGTTTCGGTCCTGGGACCTTGAAGTGATCAAGGTCCCAGGACCGAAACGTTTTCTAATAAATATGTTATAGTGTTTGCTTACGTGTCTTTCTAAACCAACTTGTCGGTATTTATTACCAAGGTTTATACCATCAAATACAATTAAACAAAACAACGGCAGCTTCACCATCTCCGAAGTCTTAGCAAGAATCCTCCTGAAAACAGTAAACCCTGCCATCACATAGTCTCTCCTGTTATACTACACAAAGCACAGAGAGTGAACACTGTAACAAGCTGCCTCTTTCCAGTCTATATTTGTCCAACCTATTTTTATGTTACCCAAGTAATAGCTTTTATATCCTTTTACTCATGTACGAATTAATTGCTCTACCATATTGTATTACTACTACTACTACAACTTTTGTCACTACTACTACTACTACCACTAATGAACATCGAAATGGTACCTCACTAGTATTACACCTCACTCTGAGCCTTTATATACCCTCTGTGTCCATGCATTGTTTGTAATGGCTTGATAAAGCTCCTGGAGAGCGAAACGTTGCCACAATAAAATGTCACATTAGTTGCACTTGTGTCCTTTTACTTTACAATTTGTATACTGCAGAAAAAAAATAAGCTGTATTGTACTGGAGCTTTTGGTCACTTGGCTGATGCCTTCCACTGGCTTACTGCTCTGCCCTTTTAAAAATTAAGGTTATTAATACTCTTTGAACATGAATATTAACAGAGGGCCAACCAAAGGAATGTATTGGTCCTAAAATCAGGTCTCAGTTATTATAGGATCATCCAATTTTTTTTTTTATTGGAGACATCATTGACTTCCTAAATTCCTATACACAGTGGCAGGCCAAATAATAATAATATAATAATATTATTATTATTATTATTATTATTATTATTATTATCAAACATTATTATTAGTCACTACATTCATGGGTAGATCGCTAAACCAACAGGAGTCATACAGCGCCTGAGAGAAATGCATTCAGGTTCGATGCAAGGAAGGGGAGCACAGATCCAATCCCTTAGATGAAGAGCCTCTCATTGGAATCAAGAAACCTCCCTTGAGAGGACTGGGCTAGATAAAATTCCTTGGCAGGCCGAATATGGCACACGGGCTGTATTTTGCCCACCCCTGCCACAGAGGGCACACAGCACCTGGGGAATGTAGCAAACAGGTTCAATCCAAAAAAATAAAAAACCGATCCAAGTTCTTCAGTGAAGAGTCCCTCATAAACCCCTACCGTAGAGACCTTGATTGTTTCTAGTAACACACGGAGACAAGAGTTAATATGTGCAACAGTTAGGTATCTTTATTCCAAAACATTTTGCCTACACAGCAGACTTCGTCAGTGGAATACAGTGGCAGCAGAAGCAGTAGAGATGTAAAGACTTGTCAGTATTGTATACCATTATCATATTCTCATCTTGGCAACAGTTACAATCTCTCTGCCAGTCAATGTTGCTGAGTGCAATGATCAAGTTATTCACACAAATCTCATCATGAAGCATGAATGACATTTCATTATAGCCGCCTACTTACAAATCTCCTGTATTACAGTGCAATTTTTTGTTAATGCAAAAAAGTGAATCGAAAACTGAATAACATACTGTCACTGTGTCTGACTTTTTTGTGTTATCCCAGGTTCTCTACACATATGCTGCTATGTATGACAATCTATGTAACTGTATCTGTGTATACCTGAATAAACTTACTTAAGGCCTTTCCATGTGGTATTCAACTTTGGATGTAGTTTTTCACTTTTATTTACAAAAAAACTGCACCATATAGAGGAGCTTTATAAGCAAGTTGACTGTAGTTTCAAGTGTTGGTTTTGATATATAAGGAATGTAAAATAGTGGTTAGTTATACAGTGGACCCCCACATAACGATCAGCTCCCAATTCGACCAATTATGTAAGTGTATTTTTGTAAGTGCTTTTGAAGGTGTATTTTTGGGGGTCTGAAACGGACTAATCTAATTCACAATATCTCTTATGGGAACAAATTCGGTCTATAATGGCACCAAAACAGACTTCTGGATTGAAATAATATCGTTATTTAAGTGTATTTTTGTAAGTGCTTTTGTAGGTGTATTTTTGGGGGTCTGAAACGGACTAATCTAATTCACAATATCTCTTATGGGAACAAATTCGGTCTATAACGGCACCCAAACAGACTTCTGGATTGAAATAATATCGTTATGTAAGTGTATTTTTGTAAGTGCTTTTGAAGGTGTATTTTTGGGGGTCTGAAACGGACTAATCTAATTCACAATATCTCTTATGGGAACAAATTCGGTCTATAATGGCACCCAAACAGACTTCTGGATTGAAATAATATCGTTATCCGGGGGTCCACTGTACTGCCTGTAACTTGTCTGTCGTCACACTACTCAACAGTACACCATTTCATGCAGGATGACCCAGTGATGCTGAGCTGTATAGAGAGACTACCAGGATACAACTTGCAACTGCTTTTTCAATATTTTTCAATATTTAAATTTTCCTTGTTTTTAATTTTATCATACTTATGAATTAGGGAAAATATCAAAGTTTTTTATGCATACCTTCATCTCACACACACACATATTTTATGAAGAAACAGTACTGTTGAAAATATATATATATATACTATCAGCAAAAGTTCTTTATTTAGCTTTTAAGTACAGTAAATATAATTATCTTCGGGGGAAAAGTTATCTACTAAGACGGAGAAACATGGCATGTTTACACTCTGGGCTGTCCTCTGGCAGGTACTTGTCATAGAAGCCAAAGAGAAATTCTTCCACTTTGAAGCCAAAGCGCTGGTACAAGATCAGTGCTGGATTTGTTGCTGAAACATGAAGGGTCACGTCTTTACCCATGCATGTCTGTCCAAAGAGAAAAAACTACTCTAAGTACTGAGCATCAATAAATGATTAAGATATGCTAAAATTTATACAGTGCAGAATATTAATAATTCATGTTAAGCACTAAACCCATGTGGAGCTTTCAGCACAAGATATGATGCAGATGAAGTGTATGAAGAAAACACAGATAGAAATGGTATTCATTCTAGTACAAAGTAGTACTACTACTACTACCACTAGTGAACATCGAAATGTTACCTCACTAGTATTGCACCTCACTCTGAGCCTTTATATACCCTCTGTGTCCATGTATTGTTTGTAACAGCTTGATAAAGCTCCTGGAGAGTGAAACGTTGCCACAATAAGTGTCACATTAGTTGCACTTGTGTCCTTTTACTTTACAGTATCAAAGTAGTGGTGAAATCAATGTGCTACCTTGTGGTCCCACTGCTCGGCACAAGGTCAGGATACAGGCGTGTGATACATGATTATTTGAATTGACTTCCTGATCAGCCTCATATGATTGATGTGTCTGGTTCTGGTAACAATTCTGAGAGGTAGGTGGGGTGGTTATGGTTTGAAGGGTCATGCTGGTTACATCCTGGGACAAAAACTGACCTAACTTGCCCATGATGCTCTGTATAACAAGGGCTTTCCACATAGTATGTCATTGATGTCAGCTAGGCCTGTATATACTGTACATGTACATGAAGAAATAAAGATTATTATTATTTTTATTAAGTGCGATGTCTGTGCACTTCTGGTAAGACAGCTGTTCAGTGGGTGATACTAAACGTGTTTCCTTCTTTGAGTCAACTTACCTTGGTGAGGAAAGAGCCATGTGGCAGAAAAAAATTGGGTGCTGAGTTCAAGTGATATACCTTTATATACCTTGGAAGAATTTCGAGAGTATATCTACTCTCTGAGCCTGGCCATGGGCCAGGCTCATCTGGTGCTTGCCTGGTCAACCAGGCTGTTATTGCTGGAGGCCCGCTGCCCCACATATCCATCACAGCCTGGTTGATCTGGCACCTGGTGAAGATACTTGTCTAGTTTCCTCTTGAAGGCTTCAACACTTGTTCCAGCAGTGTTTCTGATATCTTCTGGTAAGATGTTGAAAAGTCTGGGACTCCGGATGTTGATACACTGTTCCCTTATTGTCCCCACCGCACCCCTGCTCCTCACTGGGTTTATTGTACACTTCCTCCCATATCTCTCACTCCAGTATGTTGTTATGGCAGTGTGCAGATTTGGGACCAAGCCCTCGAGTACCTTCCAGGTATATATTATCATGTACCTCTCTCTCCTCCGCTCCAATGAGTACATGTTCAAGACTTGCAGGCGTTCCTAGTAGTTTATGAATGAGGAAACCTATGTATGTACTATATACTGGTTAGTGACTATGCCTCACACTCACTGAGTGCCCGTTATTCAGTCCCCAGCCTGGGTGGAAATGTTGGGCATGTTTCCTTACTCCTGTCCCAGTTCACCTAGCAGTAAGTAGGTATCAGTGTGTTAGTTGACTGGTGTGGGTCACAGTCTGGGGCACAAGATTAAAGACCACAATGGAAATAAGACACACAGTCCTCTGTAATGCACTGACCTTCTTGGGTTTTTCTGGGTGGATTATCCTCTCAGTTAAAACAATGGATAAATCTTATCTTAATGATCAACTTACTTGAATCAAGTGGTAGAGAACAAATGTAGCAATGCCAGCACGTCGCCACTCTGGGTGCACCAACAAGAACGAGAGATATGCAATGTTAAAACCTGTGTCAGGAACAAGCACACCAAATCCCACTACTAAGTTTCGGTAGAGGACAACGCATGTATGATCTGGGTATTGTAGCACTTCTGACACTGGAATAGATAAACAACAGTGTTAACAATTTTATTTTTCATGAGTTGGAAAACTTTCTAAGGATTATTAATGCAAGATAACCTGATGAAGCCAGGCAATGTGGCTTATTTATATTGGAATCCTCCTGCTCTCCCAGGATGCAACCCACTCAACCTACTGAGCTTGCTTCATGCCTAAAACATTCTCAACATACATGGGACCCTATTAAGGTTGGAATGAAGTTCCAGGCAAACTGCCAAAAAAATTAAACTTTTTGAAGCATCTCAAAATAAAAAAAAAAGAGAAATGTAATGCTGAGAGACCTTAAAAATTGTAAACTCGAAAAATTTGTTATTGCTGTATTTTGAGTTGTAGTGCGTAGTGTAAGCCTGTTGATAATTCTCATCTCCCAGCCCAGTCAACTCTTAATTGGACACCAACATATGTCATGCTCATAATATTTTGATGTTGAATTTTATATTTCTCAATTACTTTTACCTAACTTCAGGAACCTCACTTCCATGGGCACCCACTAGAGGGGGTATTTGTGTCCACAAAACTGCATGTATATATGCATGCACAAAGTATGAACCACTGTATTATAAAAATCTAACAGTGCAGCAAAAATAAAAGATTTCAGTCAATTATTTTATTAATATAAAATATAAAATTTGTGCTTACACGAAACCCTAAGGTTCTGTGGAACACAATTTGAAAACCTCTTCTCTACAGCCTCTCTATATAATTATTATTCTCACAGCTGATCTTTCAAATTGGCCTCATGCTTTAGCTCCTCTTCAAAACCTGTTTGTGGGCACCAATGGTCGCTATTATGTATGTGTGACTAGTTAAAGGTCCAAGTTGGGTTATTTGTGTATTTTTCCAGTCACATTATTGTGCCTCTTTGTTCTTTAAATGTTAACCTAATTCATAACAGAATGAATTAAGACAGTGCAGTAGCACTTGCACTAATTTATACTGGAAACACATACAATCAATTCCTGGCCAGAAGAAATGCCTTGCTAGCTGGTTCATGGCTGGAATATGCTTGGGTGTCACATAGCAGTAATCTATTGGATGTCTGGGAGGCAGACACCATCCTGCTTCATCACGGTGGGGATGTGAGATAATCTCTTGCAGAAGCTGGAGCTTGAGTGGAACAGACTCATAATCTCGCATTATGTACGGCTTAAGATTCCTGCAAAGAAAACATTCTTTAGTAAAACAACTTGTCAACATATTAAAACAGCAGGAATGTTTGTAAGCTGTAACCTTCCTGTACATACAGTGACTCATAACCAAGTAAACCAAACAAACACTTCTTGGGGATTGGATCATGAGTGTCATCATACACAGGATTATACTAGTGACAAATATGAAGCTTGACCTGACCTGAGAGTGTAGGGGCTGTAAATAAGAGGCAGCGATCCAGCCGGAGCACCGACAAGCTTGATCAAGAAGCTGGATGTCTCCTCTTGTCTGCGATGCTCTTGACCAGTGCACACCTAGTATGTATATCAAGAAGCATCTATACAAAGAATGAACATACACCTCCCCTCACCTTTCTTTATATTTTTGATTATCTAGAAGAAAATCTTACACATTCTACAGTTTCCCAGCACTAAACATTAACCATGTGTGACTGAGTACTGTATATTTATGGCAACAATGGTAGCAAGGTACTCTGCATGGAAATTTAACATGACCTGAAAAATCAAACAAACAAACCAAAATGCTATGAAAAAAACAAGCATAGTCTATCATTATAAGAGACTTTTCAATAGGCACTGCCATGTGCAAATCTGTTGTGCCACTATCACTACTTCCCTACCTACTACTACTACTACTACTTCCACTACTACTACTACTACTACTTCCACTACCAGCACTACTTCTACCACTACCATCTCCACTTCATTTTATTTTTTACTTCCTCCTCTTTCTCCCGTCCCTGTCATCCTCTCGTACATATACTGGCTCCCTTGCCTTGTGTGTCAGATTGTGACTAGTTAATGCTTCAAGTCAGACCAAAACATAAGTTTCTTTCTCTTATGTGCAGGTTATTTGTGTAAAAGTTCTCCCATCTCTCAAAGTTCAGCCTTTGACATCATCATACATCTACAGGGACATACTGCAGTGTCAAAAATTAAGTCACAAATTAAGCTCTGTTTGCCAATAAGTTTACACAATGCCAGTATCACTTTTCACCTATTTTACATCTTTCCAGGAATTTGCAGTATTTATGACAAAAATCCAAGAAGAACTGTAGGCCATCATTAAGAGACACAAGAACTACATAAACTGCAAAGATGACTTTAGCAGATATTTGAAAAAGTCAAATTCATACATAACTTACTACTGAAGAAATCCACAAAAATATAAGGGTAATAAACAAAAAATACAGGAATCAGAGTGGCTTACACAGTGACTAGAGTTTAAGAATTCACTCACCATGGGTTCAATCCCCACTCGTTCCATGGTTTGGTAACCTTACAAGAAATACTAACCTGAAATCTGTCTAGAACTCTGGCAGTCGAGTCACTCATGTTTTGCGTCATTTTGCACTGAAGACGTTCACGATAGCTCCTAAGTCTGCCAAAACTACGCCAAAAATTGATTTCCGAGTCTAGATTAAAAAGTGGAAGGCCATGTTCCAACTTCGATTTTCTGTAGAATACGTAAGAGGTACATCATTCAGACTTAAATTAATAAGTGAGCTTTTTTTTTTTTTTTTTTTTTTTTAACAAGTCGGCAGTCTCCCACCGAGGCAGAGTGACCCAAAAAAAAGAAAGAAAATCCCCAAAAAGAAAACACTTTCATCATCATTCAACACTTTCACCTCACTCACACATAATCACTGTTTTTGCAGAAGTGCTCAGAATACAACAGTTTAGAAGCATATATGTACGTATAAAGATACACAACATATCCCTCCAAACTGTACTGTACAAGAAATGCTATATCATATACAGTACATATATAAGCACAGAACAGGATAACACGATTAAGTGATAAGGTACAAACTTTGCCCAGTATATTTTTTTCTCCATTTGCAGTGCAGACCTTGAGACATCAGTTGTGAAGTAGTATAACTGAGGTCTGACTGGAGGGAAATGGATGACAGAGAAAAAATTTATTATCAGTATATTTTTTGTCAACTTACAATAGCTGTACCTGGAGTATCCCTGGAGGGTGTTCCAAGGGTCAACGTCCCTGTGGCCCAGCCCATGACCAGACCTTGTGTTGGATGAGAGCCTGATCAATCATGCTGTTACTGCTGGCCACACACAAACCGACATACAAATCACAGCCCGGCTGGTCAGGTACTGACTTTAAGTGCCTGTCCAACACCCTCTTGAAGACAGACAGGGGCCTATTGGTAATCTGCCTTATGTATGCTGGGAGACAGTTGAACAGTCTTGGGCCCTTGACACTTATTATGTTGTTTCTTAGCATACTCATAGAGACCCTGTTTTTCATTGGAGGGACACTGCATCTCCTGTAGAGTTGTTTGCTTTCTTAGGGACTGATGTAGATTTGGGACTAGTCCCTCTAGAATTTTCCAAATATATATTATCAAGTGTCTTACTTGCCTGCATTCCAAGGAGTACAGGTCAAGGGACTTCAACCATTCCCAGTAATTTAGGTGATTTATGGTACTTATACAGTACGTGCAGTGAAAGTTCTCTATATATTCTCCATGCCTACAATTTTGTCCGCCATTAGTGTAATATTATAATATTTTGAGACATCTTCACCATAATCGAAGTGTCAAGTATAGAAGTAATCTTGCAAAAATCCCAACTAGAACAAGCAAGCAATAATATGCAGGCTATAAGAGGTCTGATATTATAACAATATGCCCAATGTCACCTAGCGGTGGCAACTGGTTTTCTTTTTACTATGGATATAGATTATTACTTCATTCCAATTGGATAGTTACAACCAACATTTTTCGCTATTTGTATCACCATTAAACTTTTGTTTTTCCTTTTGAGCCACCCTGCCTCGGTGGGATACGGCCAGTTTGTCGAAAGAAGAAAGAAGTATATCACCATATTACAATACAGAAAGTAAGTTTCCTTAACTCACGTTACTGACTCACGAAATCGTAATAACACAATTACAAACAAACCACGAAACAGCTGGGGATTGAACCCATGGTAAGCAAGTCCTAAAACTCCGGGCCAGTGTGTAAGCCACTTGACCCATGCTTACCTCCCTATGATGTATAGAAATATACCTAGTTGGATGAATCTTATTGTAGCCAGCTGGCCCTGTGGATATGCACTGGCCTGGAGTTTTACAACTCTATTGCCATGGGGTCAATCCTCACCTGTTCCGTGGTTTACCTTACATTGTTTGCAGGAAGCCATACTTGTTGGAGACCTCAATAAATGTCAGTAACTTGTGCACTAAATGCTCTTTCCAGGGATACAGAAAATATAGACATTAAGCAACACAAGACTCAGAGATGCAAAGAATGAAACTACACTCAAACAATACATAATCGTGGACTATAATGAAACCAAAATTTTATGAGCCATTGCCAAGATGTCACTTGCAAGTAGCACTGGGTTTTCCCACCTCACCTCAGTTTCATAATATTTTATACTCCATAACCATCCTGCAGGCAACACCTCACCTGACAGCCAGTTTGCGACGAAAACGATGCAGATGGGGAGGTAAAGAACCAGATTCTTGAAGACGATCCAACTGTCGCAACAACTGTCGTTCCTCATATCCACTTAATGCACGGACACTGTGCATGTGAGAGCTAATTAGTTACTCTACCAAGGTTTTAATACACCTCTCAGACAGTATACATTAATAAATTAATAATTAGTACTATATACAGTGGAACCTCAAAAATTGAACGTATCACATATCGATCATTTCGAAAATAGGGCCATTTTTTCAGACAAACTGTGTCCCTATTATCAAACGTGCCCCTATTTTTGGACCGCTGGGTATGGGACCTGTCTGCCGGCCCGCTCTGTCCGTGTCCCCGTGCAGGCGCCGTGAGCAGTCTAGCTTTGTTTATGCTTGAGTGAACACTAACCTGCGATCTCATTCACGCATTTTACGATTATTTCATTGTGTTTAGTGCTTGTGGGACTGTGAAATAAGCTGCCATGGGCCCAAAGAAACTTGCTAGTGGTATCCCTGTGGTAAAGAAAGTGAGAAACACCATAGATGTGAAGAAGGAAATAATACAGAAGTATGAGAGTGGTGTGAGACTTGTTGAGCTTGCCAGGATGTATGGGAAAAACAAGTCAACCATCGGTTCTGTCCTGTCAAAGAAAGAACAAATCAAGGAAGCTGATGTTGCGAAAGGTGTTAATATAGGGAGTGGATGAGGTGCCTTCTTCAAAGATTAAGGAGATTTGTGCCAAGTGGAATGATGTCCAAATGTTTGTGCAGAAGTACCACCCTGAGCAAGCTGAAACAAGCCATCTTTGCAACAAGTTCAGTGACAGAACCATGTCCCATTTTAGGGAAATGTTAAAGAGGTGCCAGAAACAGAGGACTGTGGACAGTTATTTTGTGAGACAGGGGTCCAGTGACTCTCAAGCTGGTCCTAGTGGCATTAAAAGACAGAGAAGGGAAGTAACCCCAGAGAGAGCTTTACCTCAAGTCTTCATGCAGGGGGATTCTCCTTCCAAACACTAACCCCAACTCCCTCTCTCCTTCTCCCTATCTTCCAGATGCCATCACCAATCTTCAATAGAGGTAACTAAAAATGTTATTTTATATGTATTACCATACATAATTAAAAACTATAGTATTTGTTGTATGTAAAACTGTAATTAATCTCTATAAAATGTATTTTTTGTGTGAATATTTTTGGGTTTCTGGAACAGATTAATTGTATTTCCATTATTTCTTATGGGAAATATTGCTTCGAATTTCAGACTTTTCGAATTTAGAACTAACTCCTGGAACGGATTAAGTTCGATTTTTGAGGTTCCACTGTATAAAGCATTGAACCTGTGTTGGTCATACAGAGCTATGAAATATATTCTCTGGACATGTAAAATGACAGTAATGAAAGTATAGTTAGTTGTTTCCAAAAATTGTGTAGCAATTGCTAGGAAGTCATTTTCTTCACTATACTATACAGTGGACCCCTGGTTTACGATCAGCTCCCAATGCGACCAATTATGTAAGTGTATTTATGTAAGTGCATTTGTACGTGTATGTTTGGGGGTCTGAAATGGACTAATCTAATTCACAATATTCCTTATGGGAACAAATTCGTTCAGTAATGGCACCTGAACATACTTCTGGACTGAAATAATATCGTAAACTGGGGGTCCACTGTATTTTTTTTTTTTTTACATTTGAAATAAACACTTGGCAAAGCCATACTAAATTTTTAAATTTTCTTTGTATATACAACCAAAGAAAATTTTTGTTGTAACTAGAATGTACAACATACAAATTATTTTATGTTTTGTGCCCATTTAAATAGTCAGAATGCACTCTTGGGCTTAAAAGCAATAATATAAAATGAGAAATGTTGGGAAAGGCACAAAAAATGAGATGATAAAGAGGAATAAATTAAGCAGAAAAGAACAGAGAAGCTTACACATAACTTGAAGAAAAGTGAAAAGTATTTTGCTTACTTTTCTTTAGTTTCCTGTCTCAATACAGGAGGAAGATCCACTAGTGTGGTAGGAGGTGGACTAGTCTTAGTGAAGAGTGAAACCTTAGTACACGCTGGTGAGTCGTCTAGTAGATGCACCTCTGTTGTAACTTCACCTCCATCCACATCAATGAACTCTGTGTCACATTCTTCCTCTTTCACTTCAATTTCTTGCCACCTTCATTTCCATATTCCAAATGACCTTCTTGCATTGTTACTTCTTTCTTGATATTTACCTGATAAAAGATTACAGAAAGTAAACTGTACATGTTTTGTATTTAAATCATTTTTTTTTTATTAACAATTCAGCCGTTTCCCACCAAGGCAGGGTAGCCAAAAAAGAAAAACTTTCATTATTCACTCCATCACTGTCTTGCCAGAGGCGTGCTTACACTACAGTTATAAAACTGCAACATTAACAGCCCTCCTTCAGAGTGCCGGCACTGTACTTCCCATCTCCAGGAATCAAGTCCAGCCTGCCGGACTTGACTGCCTTACTAACAGTAGTTTAGAATGTGTGAACATAACAACAAGAGGAACTGTTGACTAATGCTAGGTAGGTAGGTCTTGCACCCAAATGTTAAAACACAACAATAAAGCACTGCAGTAGGCCTACTGGCTCGTGCTAGGCAAAATCTACTCACACTCATACTAGGATCTGCATGAGGCTGTCATCTGCTGAGGATGCGGTTATCCTCCAAGAAGATATAAACAAAGTTTTCCAGTGGGCAACGGTAAACAATATGATGTTCAATGAGGACAAATTGCAACTACTCCGTTATGGAAAACTGGAGGAGATAATAACTAGAACAGAGTATACTACAGACTCTGGCCATACAATAGAGCGGAAAAATAATGTTAGGGACCTGGGAGTAGTAATGTCTGAGGATCTCACTTTCAAGGATCACAACAGTGCCACGATCGCACGTGCAAAGAAAATGATAGGATGGATAATGAGAACGTTCAAAACGAGAGATGCCAAGCCAATGATGATCCTTTTCAAATCACTTGTTCTCTCTAGGCTGGAATACTGCTGTACATTAACATCCCCATTCAAAGCAGGTGAAATCGCAGATCTAGAGAGTGTACAGAGATCCTTTGCTGCACGTATAAGTTCTGTTAAGCACCTTAACTACTGGGAACACTTAGAAGCACTTGACTTGTACTCGTTGGAATGCAGGAGGGAGAGATGTATCATAATCTACACTTGGAAAATCCTGGAAGGAATGGTCCCAAACCTGCACACATAAATCACTCCCTATGAAAGTAAAAGACTGGGCAGGTGATGCAAAATGCCCCCAATTAAAAGTAGGGGCGCCATTGGTACACTAAGGGAAAACACCATAAGTGTCCGGGGCCCAAGACTGTTCAACAGCCTCCCATCAAGCATTAGAGAAATAGCCAATAAACCCCTGGCTGCCTTCAAGAGAGAGCTGGACAGATACCTAAAGTCAGTGCAGGATCAGCTGGGCTGTGGCTCATACGTTGGACTGCGTGCAGCCAGCAGTAACAGCCTAGTTGATCAGGCCCTGATCCATTGGGAGGCCTGGTCATGGACCAGGCCGCGGGGGCGTTGATCCCCCGAATAACCTCCAGGTAACCCAACTATTAGAACATAAGGATAAAGCACTGACACAGAACTGGTCCTTGGTGGTTCTGCTCACACCCAACCTTTCCCAATCCAATATTTATCTAACCTATCATTAAAGGTACTTACAGTGCAGTAGTGTAACCCTTGAGGTTGACCTCTGCCTAGTCCAAATTCAGCGTAATTTTTTAATATGTCAGGGAAAAGTTTTCACTGCTGATGCACCATGGATTTTGGGTTACACAATAAACAGTGTAATCAGGTTGCACCACACCTGCTCACAGTAACATCACAGATACTGTTCTTTGGGTGGCACAAACAAAGACCTAAGACCTACCTGTGGAAAACTGTACTTTGTTTCTTCCAGTTCCTCTTCTTCATCACTATCAAAGAGTGCTTGAGGTGGGCAAGTGTGAGGCTTGAGAAGCTCTCTCTCGGTGAACCACGAGCCTCGGGAAGAATCATCATGGCTGTCAAATGAGACATCAGCAGAACTTATTGATTCTTCCACTAGTTCCTCCTTAATGTGATGTATATCCTGAAAGACCTAAAATACATTAGTAACATAAAGACTAAAAGTCACAATACTGTAGCTGACACAATTTGCAACTAATCCACAAATTAGGGAGAAAACTTTTAGATGATGTAGGTAGATAATATCAAAAACAAAAGGCACAATACCATGACTGGAACAATACATAAATAACTCGCCGATAAGAGAGAAAAGCTTACGACGACGTTTCAGTCCAACTTGGACCATTTACAGTCACACTAACAAACGCACAAGAGTGAGGGAGCCAGCATATACAGGTGAGGGGAACAGGGACGGGACCAAGAGAGGAAGAAAAGTAGTAGTGGTAAGGCTGGAGTGCAAGTAGCAGTAGAAGTAATAATGGTAGTAGAAGATAGGGAGAGTTGGACCAAAAATATCACTTTAAGCTTCTCTCTTCTATGTGCAGGTTATTTGTGTACAGATAGTATCAGATCAGAGGGAGAGAATATGATGGAAATAAGTGTGTTCAGATATTTAGGAGTGAACTTCTAAGTCACCCTACCTTGGTGGGAGATGAACAGTGTTAACCCGTAAACGGTCCAAACGTATATATACGTTTTTTCAACATTTGAAAGTATGTAAAAAAAGTAGATCTTCTTTTTGCTTTTTTACATTTGAAAATGAGTAAAAAAAATTTGATCTTTTTTTTTTTGTTATATTTGAAAATATGTAAAAAAAATGTATATTTACTTTTGTAGCACTACACATGTGAATGTAGATCTACTTGGACCGTTTACGGGTTAAAAAAAAAAACTAGTCAACAATAATAAAGATGCAGTGTGTGTATAACATCATACAATAACAGCTTTTCCTGCTAAAAGTGTCTCAGAATTATAGTAAACCTTCAATTTAATGAATTTAGGAAACAGAACCTTATATACTCCATATGGAAGTAGAACAGAATTCTTCCTCTGTAAGTCATGTGTGTCGTAAGAGGCGACTAAAATGCTGGGAGCAAGGGGCTAGTAACACTTTCTCCTGTATTACTAAAGTTAAAATGAGAAACTTTTGTTTTTCTTTTTGGGCCACCTTGCCTCAGTGGGATACAGCCGGTTTGTTGAAAGAAGAAAAAAAGGACCTTATATGCTGGGTCATATGGTTGGGAAACAATGGGTAAGTCTGTTGTTTACACAATTGTTCATTATTACCTTCACACACCACCTCATCTCTATCCCCCACAATCACAATAACTGGCCACTCACTTCCTTTAGTAATCCATTGAGTGTCTACTGGAACACCTTTAGATGACATTTTGATCCATCCTGACCTACTGTCAGGTCATGTCACTTGGTACTGCTCCAGGACAAACCAAAACACCATCTAAAATTTCCTCTCTAAATTTTGCATTAGTTGTGAATATTATTACTGTACTACTAGTTAATGTAGTTAAGGTGTGGAGTTAATAAAAGTATTATTAATCAGAGGGCTGAAGAGTCGTTGTTGAGGTGGTTTGGTCATTTAGAGGGAATGGATCAAAGTAGAATGACATGGCGAGCGTATAAATTTGTAGGGGAAGGAAGGCGGGGTAGAGGTCGTCCTCAAAAAGGTTGGAGGGAGGGGGTAAAGGAGGTTTTGTGGGCGATAGGAGTGAATGGAGACGAATGGTATTTGGGACTGACGAGCTGTTGGAGTGTGAGCAGGGTAATATTTAGTGAAGGGATTCAAGGAAACCGATTATTTTATATAACTGGACTTGAGTCCTGGAAATGGGAAGTACAATGCCTGCACTTTAAAGGAAGGGTTTGGGATATTGGCAGTTTGGAGGGATATGTTGTGTATTTTTATATGTATATACTTCTAAACTGTTGTATTCTGAGCATCTCTGCAAAAACAGTGATTAGGTGTGAGTGAGATGAAAGTGTTGAATGATGATGAAAGTATTTTCTTTTTGGGTCACCCTGCCTCGGTGGGAGACGGCCAACTTGTTAAAAAAAAAAAAAACTAGTTAATGTATGGATATAATAAAAATTTTAACTTCAATAACTGGTGTAGTTATCTCTACCATATGACATTAATTCAGAGTAACTTACGAAGAAATAAAGGGATAAAATAATAATGTCATCTTTTAAGTGCTTCAAAATTTTATATTTCATTAGGAAACCAAAATATATACACATTGAGAAATTTACCGATTTCATCTTAATGACATGAACGTATGTATTATAACTTAGAAAAATAACAAAATTTCCTCACCATTTGTCAGAGCAAAGTACGTTATTATTTTACTCATAGTGAACCACTAAATTTGTAGGAGAATGGAATGCAAGGTTTAATTCCATAAAGAGGAGGACAACTCAAATTCCTTGAATCATGAGCCTTCCAATGGCATTAAGGCACTTCCCTTGAAGGGCCAATAAGGTACAATATTTCTGGCCTTCAGTAATCCTTGCTGTTAACACCTCTACTTATCCATACCTCAAGAGAGAGAAACAATTGTAGACGTTACAGCAAGCATGCACAATCGTCTCCCTGACTCCCCATAAATAACTCATTATGATTGTGACCAGACATAAATGTGTAAATAGTTCATTACCACTGTAACTTGTTTAACTATCAAACCTTTGTGGCCCCAGTCCCTGGACCCATTATGTACCACTGTAATCTTTTGACTACCACCCACAGGATGGGTATGGGGTGCATATAAGGATATTAAACTACAAAAAAAATCTGCTTCCCTATTTCTCTTCGTGAAACAACACTTAAGTCCACAACAGATTGAAACTACATTTTAAAGATTTATGTTTAATTGTGGATTTTTAATGCACCAGCCACCTCCCACCAAGGTAGGATGAAAAAAAAAAAAAGAAATACATTCACTATTATTCATTTGATCACTCTTGCCAGAAGTTTGTTAATATCATGGTTCACATGACCCACCAAACTGTAAGATCCTCAACCCATCTTTAGAGCGAGGCCACTGTACCTACTTCCTACCTCCAGGACTCAAGTCTGTCAAACCAGTTTCATAAAAGTCCACCTAACCAGTTTCACAAAAGTCTGTCTAACTGGTTTCATAAAAGTCCGTCTAACCAGTTTCACAAAAGTCTGTCTAACTGGTTTCATAAAAGTCCGTCTAACCAGTTTCATAAAAGTCCGTCTAACCAGTTTCATAAAAGTCCATCAAACCAGTTTCGTAAAAGTCCATCAAACCAGTTTCACAAAAGTCCATCAAACCAGTTTCGTAAAAGTCCATCAAACCAGTTTCATAAAAGTTACATCGCTCACACTTCACTTTGAGTATTAGTTTTAAAGTTATAAGTATGGTCTTAATCCACATTTCCTCACCTTAGAAGACTCATCTTTCAATCTTTTTCTGCCTCCACGTTTCTGGGTCATCTGTTGTTGTAAGATCTGGGCAGGAGGAAGGACACTTTCTAGCTTGTACCAGCCTCCATCTCGAAGAGTCTCATAACCACTAATGAAGTACTGGCCATGATGCGACAACTGCGAACTCAGTGAAGCTTGCAGCACTTTTTTCCTCTTTTTACGACTATAATAAAAAAGTTAATGCAGTACCTTTTGTTTGCAAGTAACTGTGAATTTGTAAATAAATTTTTTTTATTTTTTACTACACATTTTTGTGGCAACAAATACCCAAATTCACTGGCTTCTTAATTCTCATACTTTGATCAGCCAAGGTTTTTACTGATAGACATCCCCCAAACACCTTTGATTTACAGTTTTTATTTTAATAGGTGTTGTATTTCCTTGCATTCTACCCCACTGCCTCATGCATTCCCTTCCCCCCCCCCACACACACACACAATGTATAAAATAAATTTTACAATAAATGGCTATGGCTAATGAGGTAAAAAATTAGTCTGTATATACAGTACATGTAGTGTATAAATAAATTTATATAAAAATATATGAATTCCATCTATAAAAAAATATAACTCATACCTCTCTGGTCCAAATATGTCCTTCCAGTGATTGCTGATAAAATTGTAAACATGGATTTTCCAATGAAAAAATCCATGACGAGTGGTGTGAGCTTCTGTCTTGTGCAAGTTATACATCACCAGCAGCAGCATCTGAGGCCTGCAGGTAACATAATGATTCTTAAACAACAATAACCCATAAACTTTTTGTATGTATAATAATAATAATGAACTCTATCAACAATTGCTGCCATTATCAGCACTTCCCTATTAGTCTGTTAAGTCAAGGATTTACTATATTATATTACAGTGGACCCCTGCATAACAATCACCTCCGAATGCGACGAATTATGTAAGTGTATTTATGTAAGTGCGTTTGTACGTGTATGTTTGGGGGTCTGAAATGGACTAATCTACTTCACAATATTCCTTATGGGAACAAATTCGGTCAGTACTGGCACCTGAACATACTTCTGAAATGAAAAAATATCGTTAACCGGGGGCCCACTGTATACAGTATTATGTTCATGATCTCATGTTAATGTCCATAATTTATAAAAGTACCAAACTAATTTATTTCTAAAATAAGTATCATTTACAAAGGCATTACTTAAAGGTAATAGGTTCACTAGAGTTGTGTAGGCAGTCAGCACAGCACCTGAACTCTGAAGGATGTGTAGGAGCGTAGTTCAGAAAGCCACTTGATGACCCCAATGGAAATAAATCACTTTGACGTTTCTGGGTTATCCTAGGTAATCTACACATATGATGCTATGTATGATAATTTATGTAACTATTTAGGTGTACTTGTACCTGAATAAACTTACTTAATTGTATCTATATACTTCTGGCAAGGCTATTATTGTAATAAAGTTGGTAGAATTACCGACAATATGTAAAGTAAAAGGACACATGTGCAACTAATGTGACATTTTATTGTGGCAACGTTTCGCTCTCCAGGAGCTTTATCAAGCTTGATAAAGCTCCTGGAGAGCAAAACGTTGCCACAATAAAATGTCACATTAGTTCCACTTGTGTCCTTTTACTTTACAAGGCTATTATTGAACGAGTGACGCTGAACATGTTTTTTCTGTAGATCACCGTACCTTGGAGGTAGGTGGCCATTGCACTAAAACAAAGTAACATTAAAGAAAAACTTACGTAGTTAATTTGGCTCGAACGGTGGTATCCTGGCCGCTTTGTTGACACACACAACATGTAAAATTGAAGAAGTTGTCTCCTAGGAGAGCTCCCTCTGGTGAGCCAGACTTAAGACATGATATGTGTGCACACCGTCTGCATATATCACAACGAAGGAACTTCTCAGGGGCGTCCTGCGACATTCCATTGCAATACAAGCATGGACCGCAACTTAAACTTGGTATAAACTGTTAAAGAGTAATTAACAATGTTGAATATTTTATAAAAAAATAAATATAAGAATATTAACCCTTAAATGGTCCAAACGTATATACAGTGGGCCCCCGGTTAACGATATTTTTTCACTCCAGAAGTATGTTCAGGTGCCAGTACTGACCGAATTTGTTCCCATAAGAAATATTGTGAAGTAGATTAGTCCATTTCAGACCCCCAAACATACACATACAAATGCACTTACATAAATACACTTACATAATTGGTCACATTTGGAGGTAATCGTTATGCGGGGGTCCACTGTATACGTTTTTTCAACATCTGAAAGTATGTAAAAAAATGTAGATCTTCTTTTTTGTTTTACATTTGAAAACGTGTAAAAAAAACTTTTATCTACATTTTTTTTTTGGTAATTTGAAAATATGTGAAAAAAAGTAGATCTACTGTTGGAGCACTACGAATTTGAACGTCGATCTGTTTGGACCGTTTAAGGGTTAAACCTGACTCATAAGATTAATATTCTTTATTTCAGCATCCCTTGATATACCTTTGAAGAGTTTTGAGAGTTTTACTACTATCGGAGCCCGCATGATACAGTGTTTGTACAAAGGTGAATAACAATTAGGTGTGCATGCAGAAAGCCCCTTAATATGCACAGCATTTCTGGTAAACTTAAGACCATCTGAAGATTAATAAGGTAATGACTAACTCGAGTGTTTTTATATACAGTCTCTTACATGATTGTGAAAATAAATTTAGAGTTACAATGAATACAAGAGAACTGAACATCTTATTAGTACATGATATATATGACTTTTCTCGAGTTTAACTGCTCTGAGAATTACAGGTTTGATAATAATTACAGGTAACAAGGATTCTAGCATATTAATATAATATGAACATATTCACTGTTGTAATGGTTGTTAGGACTACAGATGCACTTAGAATACGATTACAACATTGTTTTCCATATGTTTGTGACAATAAGAATATGGATATATAGTCTTCACATATTTAACTGATGTTGGGATATGTTAGGGAGAGAAGGTGTTTTTTAATGGCAATTTTGAAGATGCTGGCTGAGACAGTGGCTCTGGAGATTTCCGGCAGAGAGTTCCAGATTTTGGGCCCTTTTATGTGCATTGAATTTTTACAAAGGCCAGTCGATTGAGCTCAGAGCTGCAGTAAAGCTAGTCATTGATGCCTTATCATGGAGTCAAAAAGAGATCTTTTCTATATTCTTTCCTATATTCCATGTTTGTTAGGAGGAAGGCAGGGTAGTGGTCAGTAGTGTTGTCTGTGATTATCCCTGATTTGAAAGGAGCTAGTATATTTGTCCATATGTGGTCAATTATGGTTGCACTCGTCTCAGTCTTGTTGGTCGAGTTATAGTGGGTATGAGTAGAGAGTTGTTCATACTATTAATGAAATCAGTTACTGGTTGGTCATCTGCTAGGCTAAGCTTAAGGTATTGTGTATACGTACTTCTTTCCTTCAACACACCGGCTGCATCCCACCTTGGCAGGGTGACCTTAAAAGAAAAACAAAAGTTTTTCTTTTTAAATTTAGTAATTTTTACAGAAGGGGTTACTAGCTGGGCTGTTGTTCGTATGTTGGATTACATGCGGCCAGCAGTAACAGCCTGGTTGATCAGGCCCTGATCCACCATAAGGCCTGATCATAGACCTAGCCGTGGGGGCGTTGACCTCCGAAACTCTCTCCAGGTATACTCCAGCCCTTGTGCCCAGCATTTTAGTCACCCTTTATGACACGCATGACTTGTGGGGGAAGAATTCTTTTCCACTTCCCCATGGAGATGAAAGGCAGTAAAGAAGAACAAGAACTATTAAGAAAATAGAAGAAAACCCAGATGAGTGTATATATATATATATATATATATATATATATATATATATATATATATATATATTATATATATATATAATATATATGCATGTACATGCATGTGTAGTGAGACCTAAGTTTAAGTAAAAGTAGCAAGATAAACAGTATATACTGTATTAATATTATAAACATTAATCCCATATAATGCAATCACCAGCCTTACTAAAAACACAACTGGCTACTAAATAATTATAATCAGTGTTTAGTTAAAGCTAATCAATAGTTAGTTACACAAATTCTACTATGTATAGTACACAAAAGACCTTGACTGAATAATGAGTTATTCTATGATAAATTTAAATAAATTACACTGAATAATGAGCTATTCTATGATAAATATAAATACTTTAATACAGCACTGTTGTATGACTTAAAACAAATTCATATTTATTACTGTCGACTGTGATTGTAGATTTTCCTCAATAAAGAATGTATTACCTTATACACTTGAACAAAAATTCAAGATATAAACATGTACTCACAGACACCATTTTAGTTGTTTCACTCAGAAGTTCTTACAGTTCTGAAACAGTAAGATAATAATTATATATTATTATTATTATAATCAAGGGGAAGCGCTAAACCCAGAGGATTATACAGCGCCTGGGGGGGGATGTGGAAGGCATTCAGGCTTAATTCAGGGAACTGGAGCACAGATCCAATTCCCTAAATCAAGAGCCCCTCAATAACATCAAGGAACCTTCCTTGAGGGGAATAATTATATAAATCTATAAAATATGAAGAAAAGCTCATTGGCACCCTATAATAAATTATATTTTTTGCAAAACTTTTTTTAATGGAATAAAATATAACATAAACCATATGTAAACTAAGTATGGTTTTTATATTATATAAATAACGCAAATATAATTAAAGTCTCTGAACATCACATAATTAATATACAGTAATTCATTGATTGATGAGTAAGAGTAAATATTATAGATGATATAAGAAATTTTTCCCAAAAGTCTCATTGTTGGTCAGGGGCTCTTGATTTAGGGAATTGGATCTGTGCTCCAGTTCCCCGAATTAAGTTCCTTGATGTTGGTGAGGGGCTCTTGATTTAGGGAATTGGATCTGTGCTCCAGTTCCCCAAATTAAGCCTGAATGCCTTCCACATCCCCCCCCCAGGCGCTGTATAATCCTCCGGGTTTAGCGCTTCCCCCTTGATTATAATAATAATAATTGTCCATGAATTCAACCAGATAATATCAGTTGTCAAATAAATATTCCATCTTTGAAGATGATGATCAATATTTTCATCCAATTATATTTTGATTTATTTCATAATACTCTCAATGTAATGTATTTTTGGTTCTGAAAATTAAAATTATAATTTATGCATCATCAAGCCAGCCATGGGAAGACTCAAGGGTATTATCATTATTATAAACATGAGGAGCGCTAAACCCATAGGATTATACAGCGCATGGGGGGGGTGGAAGGCATTCAGGACCAATTCAGGGAACTGGAACACAGATCCAATTCCCAAGATCAAGAGCCCCTCACCAGCATCACAGAACCTCACTTGAAGGTAGATCCTATTGTTCACTGATGTCTGGAAAGAGAAATATTGTATTAAATTCAGTTTTAATAATTCAGTATTTACCTAGTAGCCACAATAGACAATATTTACAATAGATATTTAAACACAATAGACAATATTTACAATACAATACCCCTCAAGGAAGGTTCCTTGATGTTAGTGAGGGGCTCTTGATTTAGGGAATTGGATCTGTGCTCCAGTTCCCCGAATTAAGCCTGAATGCCTTCCACATCCCCCCCCCCAGGCGCTGTATAATCCTCCGGGTTTAGCGCTTCCCCCTTGATTATAATTATAATAATAATACAATACAATAGATATCTACACACAATAGACAATATTTAGAGCTCGGGAAGACATCTGGGTTCAGATAGTTGGGTAGATATTTTACTTGGCTCCAGCATACAATATTGAGGTCCAGCTTTATTATGTGGGAATAACAGCTTTTATTTATCTTGTCATTTACACAAATATTAAAAACGACCCAAAGCAAATTAGTCTTCTTTGTTGTGGTTTATAAGGACCATTGACAGCTTACGCCGGATAAATTACCGTCGATTTTGTTTGGGTTTATAGGGCCACTGGTAGCGTACGCCGTATCGGCTCCACCTTCCAGTGTCCGGAAAACAAACTTCGATCAAAGTAGAAGGTAGTTGGCTAATAACTGTGAAATGAAATGTCGCCAATGCGCTTTGAAGCCAGCAAGAAGGCGCAGGTGCAAGTCAGGGGAGTCCGGGAAATATATGTTGTCACAAATATGGGCGGGAATTCAAGGGAAAGGAAAGTTTTTTTTCTGGAAAGGGAAAAGAGAACATGAAATTTCCAAGTTGGATCAGGTGGACCATAAGATTAAGCAATGACACAGACATACACCTCCCTCCATAGTAAGCACCTTGCAAGTCCACAAACACCACCGGTGATGACTTGTTGGGAGTTTTAAGGGCCACTGACAACTTACACCAGCCCTGGAGGTGTGCTGATGTTTCATTCTCCCTGGATGATCATAATATATTTTCCTAGTTTTTAATGGGACGCTTGTCCTCATCTTATTCCGCCTGCTGAGCAATTCAACGGAGGAGAATCATAGTTTCATATTATCGTTGTTATTTTAACGGCTTTAAAAGGAGACCGGTTACTAAACTCGGGTAAGGGTTATCCTAGGTAAGGTATTTCGCTTTCTGGAGCTTAAGTAAGTGGTCCACCTGATCTAACTCGTAACTTTATGTTCCTGTTTCTATTTGCAAAGGAAACTCGTGTTCTCTTTCTTTTCATCACACAGCTTTGGGCAATATTTTTCCCGCACATTGGGAAGCAACTTTGGAAACAAAGTAAGTTGTGAGTGACCAAGGAAAACTCCAACGAGAAGAAGAAAAGCAGAAGGAACAGGAGTTACCTTAGCAAATTTAAAGTTTGGATTGTGCCGCCTGGCTGGTGTACTTTATGTACATTCTCACCTGAGCTCCGGTATAGCAGGATACCTACATCCTCACTGAGCTCCGGTATAGCAGGATACCTACATCCTCACCTGAGCTCTGGTATAGCAGGATACCTACATCCTCACCTGAGCTCTGGTATAGCAGGATACCTACATCCTCACCTGAGCTCTGGTATAGCAGGATACCTACATCCTCACCTGAGCTCTGGTATAGCAGGATACCTACATCCTCACCTGAGTTTCCGGTAAAGCAGGATCCCTTACACCCTCCCCTGAGCTCTGGTATAGCAGGATACCTACATCCTCCCCTGAGCTCCGGTATAGCAGGATACCTACATCCTCACCTGAGCTCTGGTATAGCAGGATACCTACATCCTCACCTGAGCTCCGGTATAGCAGGATACCTACATCCTCACCTGAGCTCTGGTATAGCAGGATACCTACATCCTCCCCTGAGCTCCGGTATAGCAGGATACCTACATCCTCCCCTGAGCCCCTGGTTTTAGCAGGATACCTACATCCTCCCCTGAGCTCCGGTATAGCAGGATACCTACATCCTCACCTGAGTTCCGGTATAGCAGGATACCTACATCCTCCCCTGAGCTCCGGTATAGCAGGATACCTACATCCTCACCTGAGCTCCGGTATAGCAGGATACCTACATCCTCCCTGAGCTCCGGTATAGCAGGATACCTACATCCTCACTGAGCCCCTGGTATAGCAGGTTACCTACATCCTCACCTGAGCTCCGGTATAAGGATACCTACATCCTCACCTGAGTTCCGGTATAGCAGGATACCTACATCCTCACTTGAGTTCCGGTATAGCAGGATACCTACATCCTCACTGATTTCCCTGGTATAGCAGGATACCTACATCCTCCCTGAGCTCCGGTTTTATAGCAGGATACCTACATCCTCCCTTGAGCTCCGGTATAACAGGATACCTACATCCTCACCTGAGCTCCGGTATAACAGGATACCTACATCCTCACTTGAGTTCCGGTATAGCAGGATACCTACATCCTCACTCCGAGTTCCGGTATAGCAGGATACCTACATCCTCACCTGAGCTCCGGTATAGCAGGATACCTACATCCTCACCTGAGCTCCGGTATAGCAGGATACCTACATCCTCACCTGAGCTCCGGTATAGCAGGATACCTACATCCTCACTTGAGTTCCGGTATAGCAGGATACCTACATCCTCACCTGAGTTCCGGTATAGCAGGATACCTACATCCTCACCTGAGCTCCGGTATAACAGGATACCTACATCGTCACCTGAGCTCCGGTATAACAGGATACCTACATCCTCACCTGAGTTCCGGTATAACAGGATACCTACATCCGTCACCTGAGCTCCGGTTATGCAGGATACCTACATCCTCACCTGATTTCCCGGGGTATAAGAAAACAGGATACCTACATCCTCACCTGAGTTCCGGTATAACAGGATACCTACATCGTCACCTGAGCTCCGGTATAACAGGATACCTACATCTCACTGAGTTCCGGTATAGCAGGATACCTACATCCTCACCAGGAGCTTTATCAAGAAGACTTGACAAAGCTCCTGGAGAGCGAAACGTTGCCACAATAAAATGTCACATTAGTTGCACTTGTGTCCTTTAAATAAATGTCCAAAGTGGAAAATGGAGCTGACTGAAATGGATGTCATTTATTATTGCACATGGAAAGCCCAGCTGGCAGAATGAGACGAGGACAAGTGTTCCAGAATACACGGGGAAATTTATTTCCAGTATTCAGGTGAGAAGGATATGACTGCACACCACCATGGCTGGCGAGAAGTGACGTTTGTTGTAATGTTAGTAAGTTTATTTAGGCACAGGTACACATAAGTACAGTCTTCATGCATAATATAAATTACTTAGGGTGACCCTAAAAAGTTAGACAGGCTATTTCATAAATCTTCATTTATGAGCTCTGGGCTACAAATAGGCAAAGTTCTCAAAAACATGGATGAGAATACAGAAAGATTAACTCTCTCATGCTTTGGAGAATAATAGTGAACATAAGAACAGTTATTTGTTGGTTTTCTGTATATTTTGAACTTAATATAATGACTTGTTTCTATTGGGGTCATTGTTGTGGTGTTAACTTGGGACTGTGAAGGGCCACTAAAGTTTACGTCTTATTGAATCCTGTTTCAATAAGAGAATTATAAAGGAAATAAACTTTTCCGGAAAGAAAAACTGGAATAATAAAAGCACACTCCATTTAAGTCAACAACTGCAGGCTTTCCTCTGTCCTAGGAGGTAATGTATGGTGCCTCGACCCATATGCCCAGCGGACTGTGTAAGATGAGGACGAACGTCCCGGGAAAGCAAAGTGGGAAAATTTGTTACTTGATCAAGGCAGAAGAAACTAAAACGTTCCACCAGGAACGTTTTTAGGTCAGGTGGACCCTAGACCTAAACACTGGCTGAGCCAGATGTCCCGCTCTCTGAGCCAGCAAACAGGCTTCCCTCAAATCTTGGAAATTTACAAAACCTAAAGAAAAAGGCTGATGAATGTTGGGAATTGCCATTAGCAATGAGCTTGATTCCTCCAGCCTTTTCACTCATCGTTCTACCTGGAGAGTACACGAATAACCCGTACATAGGAGAGAGGAGCTTACGACGACGTTTCGGTCATGCTCAAGTCATGCTTCACTGTGTAGAGCTTTATCAAGTCATGCTTCACTCTGTGAAACCTGGGTTTCAATTCGAGATGAATGGAAGCGTTACGTATGTTTCCTTACACTTTTTTTTGCCCCTGTGCACCTAGCAGTAAGTAGGCACCTGTTTACATAGCAGTAAGTAGGTACATGCGCGTTAACCAACTGTTGTGGGTGGCATCCTGGGGAAGAGGCTCTAGAACCACCATAATAATAATAATATATTTATTTACATGTACAAGGTATACAGACCATAGCTGACATCAGTGACATACTACTATATAGAAAGCAGCTTGTTATGTTGAGCATTTCCCTCAAACTAGGTCAGTTTTGTCCCAGGATGCGACCCACACCAGTCCACTAACACCCAGGTACTCATATTCTCATGGGTGAACAGGGACAGCAGGCTTCTTATGGAAGCATCCTGATGTTTTTCCAGCCGTACCTGGGAATCCATCCACTGATCTCAGTATGTTAGCTGAGTGCTCTAGCAAGTGAACTATGGGGCACCGAGTAAGGCACATTAAACTAGGAATCTGGAACCAAATAATGTCGGTGTTAAGTTTATTGAGGTACAAATCCACATATAATTATCATACATATTGTAAAATAACTAGAATAATCCAAAAAGTCAGACAATGTGACTTATTTCCATTAAGTAAGTTTATTTAGGTACAGGTACATATTACCTGGAGGGGGTGTCGGGGGTCAACGCCCCCGCTGCCCGGTCTGAGACCAGGCACTATCACACAGTTTACCTGGAGTTTACCTGGAGAGAGTTTCGGGGGTCAACGCCCCCGCGGCCCGGTCTGTGACCAGGCCTCCTGGTGGATCAGCGCCTGATCAACCAGGCTGTTGCTGCTGGCTGCACGCAAACCAACGTACGAGCCACAGCCCGGCTGATCAGGAACTGACTTTAGGTGCTTGTCCAGTGCCAGCTTGAAGACTGCCAGGGGTCTGTTGGTAATCCCCCTTATGTGTGCTGGGAGGCAGTTGAACAGTCTCGGTCCCCTGACACTTATTGTATGGTCTCTTAACGTGCAAATAGGTATAACTTATTAGGGTCCTTGTGATTGATTTCCACTGGATTTTTTATAGATCAGTATCTTAGGTGCAGAATTTAGTTTATTAGGTAAAGGACACAAGTGCAACTAATGCAACGTTTTACTGTTGCAACGTTTTACTCTCCAGGAGGTTTATCAAGCTTGACAAAGCTCCTGGAGAGTGAAACACTTCCAGAATATTGCACTAGTTGCACGTGGTCCCTGTACCTAACATTATGTATAAGTATACAGTAATAAAGTTAGATTATCATACATGGCAGTATATGTGTAGAGAACCCGGGATAACCCATAAAAGTCAAAGTAACTTATTTCCATTGTGGGTAATTCCACCAACATTACTGAAACATGTGGTTTAGTAGATAGAAACGTTGATGGAGAACGTTGGTGTTAGTGTGGTGGTGCTCTCTGGTGTGTGTTCCGGGAAGCTGTTGGTGGCAGTTTTGTGTGTGGTGGTGGTTTATAGTGTTGTAGCGGCAGTGTGACTCAGGCATGGAGAGTGAGAGCACGCGAGTGTGATCCGCTCCAGTATGGGGCTGGCTTTTCCTAAGTGGAGTGGAAATTAGTGGTAGTGTTGACAAGATAACAGTGGTTGGTAATAATGCCGGAGTCTGAAAAGTCGCTAGAGCTCAAACTTCACAGTCCGGCAGGGGTGGAGGCCATTATTTTTCACTGGCCGCTGACATCGGGTTCAGGCGCTGTGAGTCTCCTCACCGGCCGTTTTTGTACTCATTTTTACCCTCCTCCCCCCCATTTTCCTCTCCTGCTTCGTCTCTTCACTCGCCTTTTCCTCCTGGGAGTACCTATTCTCCCTCCATGTTGGTGCTAGAAGGTTGTGATGGTGTTTGTGGCGACCAGTAATGAATATTATAACCCAGACAACTACACCATTATTATCCCCTCCATTATATTCCCTCTTTATATCTATTTTATCTTTCTCTACCCTAAAGGCAAGTTCCTTGATGCTGATGAGGGGATCTTGATCTTGGGCATTGGATCTGTGCTCCAGTTTCCTAAATTGAGTCTAAATACCTTTCATCCCTCCCCCCTCACAGGCGTTGTATGATCCCTGTGGGTTTAGTGCTCCCCATGATTAATTATAATTCTCATTTTCTCATACTATGACTCTCCCATTCTTTCTATTATGTTATTTCTTCTTGTACCTCCAGTTCTCCCTACCTATCCCTCCCCCTTTCATTCATTGTTTTCCTCTTATTTATCTCCGTTTTCTCTATTTCCTCTCCTCTTTCCTTCTTCTTATCTCTCCGTCTCCTCCTTCCCTCTCCTTCTCCCTTCCTCTCCATCGTTTCCCCTCCGATTTCCTATTTCCTTCTCCATTCACTCTCTCCGTATCTCCTTCTTCTCATTTTTCCTCTCCCTCTCTTCCTTCCATCTCCCTCTCTTTCCTTCTTCATCTCTCTCTCTTCCTTCATCTTCTTTCCTTTCTCTCCTTCTCCGTCTCTCTCCCTCTCCTTCCATCTCCCTCTCTTCCTTCTCCATCTCTTCCTCCTTCTCTCTCTTTCCATCTCCCTCTCTTCCTTCATCTCTCCTCTCTTCCTTCTCCATCTCCCTCCTTCCTTCATCTCCCTCTTTCTTCTCATCTCCCCTCCTCTCTCCTCTCCTTCTCTCCTTTTCTCTTCCTTCATCTCCTCTCTTCCTTCTATCCTCTCTTCCTTCTCCATCTTCCCTCTCTTCCTTCATCTCACTTCTCTCTTTCCTTCTCCATCTCCCTCTTCCTCTCCATCTCCCTCCCTTCCTCTCCATCTCCTCCCTTCCCTCTCCATCTCCCTCTTCCCTTCTCCATCTCCTCTCCTTCCTCTCCATCTCTCACCCTCTCTCTCCCTCTCCTCTCCTCTCCTTCCTTCTCCATCTCCCTCCCATTCCCTCTTTACCTCTCTTCCTCTCCCTCTCCATCTCCCTATCTCCTCTCCATCCTCCACTTCCCTCTCCTCACCTTCCCTCTCCATCTCCCTCATGGTTACTTTATTCTCTTGTTCCATGTCCGCATCGCTTCATTTGTATTGTGCAGATATAACAGTATCTAAGGTACTATCTGTTGTCATTGATCCAGCTGTGATTGAGAACAAAGTGGTATTAACGTGTGGTGTGATTGAAACTCAGGTGTTGTGATTGATCCAGCTGGTGATTGATAACAAAGTGGTATTAACAGTGTGTGTGTGACTCGTGTATTGATCCCAGCTGGTGATTGAAACAAGTGGTATTAACATGTTGGCTGATTGAAACTCGGTGTTGTTATGATCCCAGCTGGTGATTGAGAACGAAGTGGTATTAACAGTGTGTGGTGTGATTGAAACTCGGGTGGTTGTTATTGATCCCAGCTAGTGATTGAGAACAAAGTGGTATTAACAGTGTGGTGTGATTGAAACTCAGGTGGTTGTGATTGAGCCCAGCTGGTGATTGATAACAAAGTGGTATTAACAGTGTGGTGTGATTGAAACTCGGGTGGTTGTTATTGATCCCAGCTGGTGATTGAAAACAAAGTGGTATTAACTGTGTGGCGTGATTGAAACTCAGGTGGTTGTTATTGATCCCAGCTGGTGATTGAGAACGAAGTGGTATTAACAGTGTGTGGTGTGATTGAAACTCGGGTGGTTGTTATTGATCCCAGCTAGTGATTGAGAACAAAGTGGTATTAACAGTGTGGTGTGATTGAAACTCAGGTGGTTGTGATTGAGCCCAGCTGGTGATTGAGAACAAAGTGGTATTAACAGTGTGGTGTGATTGAAACTCAGGTGGTTGTTATTGATCCCAGCTGGTGATTGAGAACAAAGTGGTATTGTGTGGTGTGATTGAAACTCAGGTGGTTGTGATTGATCCCAGCTGGTGATTGAGAACAAAGTGGTATTAACAGTGCGGTGTGATTGAAACTCAGGTGGTTGTGATTGATCCCAGCTTGTGATTGAGAACAGTGGCATTAACAGTGTGGTGTGATTGAAACTCAGGTGGTTGTGATTGAGCCCAGCTGGTGATTGAGAACAAAGTGGTATTAACAGTGTGGTGTGATTGAAACTCAGATGGTTGTTATTGATCCCAGCTGGTGATTGAGAACAAAGTGGTATTAAGTGTGTGGTGTGATTGAAACTCAGGTGGTTGTGATTGATCCCAGCTGGTGATTGAGAACAAAGTGGTATTAACAGTGTATGGTGTGATTGAAACTCAGGTGGTTGTGATTGATCCAGCTGGTGATTGAGAGCAAAGTGGTATTAACAGTGTGTGGTGTGATTGAAACTCAGGTGGTTGTAAGTGATCCCAGCTGGTGATTGAGAACAAAGTGGTATTAACAGTGTGGTGTGATTGAAACTCAGGTGGTTGTGATTGATCCCAGCTGGTGATTGAGAGCAAAGTGGTATTAATAGTGTGGTGTGATTGAAACTCGGGTGGTTGTGATTGAGCCCAGCTGGTGATTGAGAGCAGTGGTATTAACAGTGATGTGATTGAAACTCAGATGGTTCTGATTGAACCCAGCTGGTGATTGAGAGGAAAGTGATATTAATTAATACTGTGTGGTGTGATTGAAACTCATTTGGTTGTGGTTGTGGTTGAGGCAGCTGGTGAGCAAAGAACCCATATAGTATGAGAGGTCGTGGTGTGGAAAAGTTATGGTGGTTGTTTTAAACATGATAGCCACGTGTCGACACAGTTGTTGCAAATATAAAGTCATCTAGATACACAAATTTCACGTGAGATTTCCTATGCAACTATTGTAGAATTAACACAAAACAGATGCTGGTAAAGTATTGATGATAATATAATGTCAGTTTAAAAGTACCTTGCCTAAATAAGACGTTAGTCTGTTAAATTTTTGTACTGTTGCAGGATTACTAACCTTTCTATCACATTAGCATATAAGATGGCAGGTAAATATACACTCCGTATACACTACTTTCCTGTATGGCTAACAGTTCTTAATCCTTCAGATTTACGAGGTGTAATTCGAGACACCGAACTCATGAATATATGTTACAATTAATGGAGTGCAAATGAGGCGGCTGATAATGTAGCCCGGTTCAGTTAGTCTATTTCACTTGGCCACTGAAACTGCTTGAAATACAATAAAAATAACGAACATGCGCGCGCGCAAACAGATGGCATTGAGGAGATCCCTGTACCATTTACTTTTATACACAGCTATATGAAGTGTAAGCTTACCCTCGCTACTCCAGAGACAACCTTGACAATGAATGAAAGTAGCGGCAGTGCCTCAGGCAGTAAATAATGCTTCCTACCATTAGTATCATCTCCCTAAACTGGCCTAAGATAAAGAAAAAAAACATTTTGTACCTACTCAGTTTTAAATTAGTTTCATAAGAATATTACAATTAAAAGTCGTATTCTCGTTGACATTGATAGAATATAAACTCTAATGTATGTTATTTTTTTTTTGTATTTCCAATAGTCTAGCAAGTTAGAACTGGTGTTGAACACTATATCTTATCAACTTTAATAACACAGCCTGTATCCCAGAATATTTTTAGCTTTGCTTGTCAGTGTAATGGATCTCTGGTTATTTGCGGAACTGAAGTGGCTTGCGTAAAGGAATTCCTCTTGTGACCTTATTTCTTGCTGGATATATAACACTACGCTGTGTCACAAGACACCCTTATGCAGTGGGTAGGATGACCCAGTGAACCTATTGTGTTTACTCGCCCAATTGTGTTTGCTGCGACAGACACGTTGCTGCTAACACTGTTTTTACGTGCCTTGACCGACATTTACCGAGTTCTGGCAGAGTGAGGAACTGTCGACCGTATTCTTGAATATATGTATGGTAGTAGGTGGATAGAGTAATCATTCAAGGAAGTACTAATCTGTCGGATTACTTTTTTTTTCTTTGTCTCGTGAACATATGACAGGTGTATCTCTTACACTTATACTGCCTTCAGAATACACACACGCACACACTTTTGATATTATATAGCCGTCTTAACAGTTCTTAATTCTGTATTACATGTATTTCCTTTTCCAATTTAGAAGGCCTAGTCTAAGGCCAGGTCGTAGAAAAGACATCCCCTAGGATCACTTTAACGGATTAAGTTGTCTTCCACGTTAGTTTAACTCATTCCATTCTCATTCCCTAAGTCATGCAGCTACTGTTTGAAGAGATTATTGTGTGATGTGCCTTATACTGTGTAGTGACTTAATATCTGGATACGTACTGTATGCTTGTGGTGTGAATATTCTGTTTGTGACCATAGGGTGAGACTACAGGTAACTAGTATGTTGTGTAAGAACTATTATAGTGTGAGACTACGGGTAATTATACTTTTGTGACGTGACTATTAGTGGTGACTTATACTGTGTACTATTTATACTGTGTGGTGGCTTGTACTGTGTACAGTGACCTGTACTGTGTATAGTGATTGTACTGAGTGGGTCTGCTTGTAATGTGTGCAGTGACTGCACTGATTGACGTGCTGTGTAATGACTTGTACTGTGTGTGACTACTATTGTACTGTATGGTGACGATTGTACTGTGTGGCTACTATTGTACTTTATGGTGAATTGTACTGTTTGCTGACTACTGTACCGTGTACTAATTATTGTACTGTATCCCAACTAATGCACTGTGTAATGACTTGTATTTTGTACTGTATGGTGATTTTTAATCTGGTGAATACTGTTGTGGTGACTATTGTACTGTCATGACTGTTCTGTAGTTCCTTGTACTACGTGGAGGGTACGTGTATTTATTTGTGTTGTGCTATTACAGTGCCTGTCTTATGTAGTGACTAGTATACTGTGCATGGTGACTTACACGATGTGGTTATTATACTACATGGTGGCTATTATGCTACCAGTATGTGATTGGTATTATAGTTTGTGAATCAAACTGGGAATAATAATATGCTGTGTGGTGAACATTATACTGTGTGTTTGGCGAGTGTGGTGACTTGTGCTGTATGTTTGGTAGCTTATACTGTGTAGACACATAGTATATCATGACTGTTGAGGTGAATATACTGTGTGGTAACGTAATATAGTTTAGTGACATACTTTGTTGCCGCATATTTGTGGTGACCATTATACCTGGAGTCTTCCGGATGTCACTGCTTCCGCGGTCTGGTCCCAGACCAGGCCTCTTGGTTGCTAGCCTGATCGATCAACCTGTTAGTGCCCACCGCCCGCAGTCCAACATATGCACCACAACTCGGCTGATCAGGAACTATTTTTGAGGAATTTGAGTTCTCTGTTGAAGACAGCTAGGTGTTTCTTGGTGATCCCCTTTGTGCATGAAAGGAGGGAAGAGTCTTAGTCCCTTAACACTTATTGAGTTCTCTGGATATACAGTGCTCCCCTTCTTTTCATTGGAAGTATCCTCCTCCAAGTCTCGTGTGCTTATAAGTAGTAATTTCGGTGTGCAGGTTTCATACGAACTATGAAGGGTTCTCTATATATTTTCTAGGTCAGCAGTTTCACCTGCCTTGAAGGGGGCCGTTAATACATATTCCAGCCTAGAGAGAACCAGTGACCTGAACAGTATCTTCATTGGCATGGCATATCTCTGTTTTGAAGGTTCTAGTTATCCAACATCATTTTTCTTGCAGTTCCAATAACATTGCTCATTGATTTATCACTCCCAAGGTTTTCATAATTGACACGTTCTATTGAGTGGTTTGACGGTCTTGTACTTCGACCTTGTTTTTATGTTTTCCATTTTCCTTGGCGTAGTCAGTGAAATTTGTCTTCTTGGAGCATAATGTTGTTTTCAGTGGTCCACTGAAAGACTTGGTATACATCAGCTTGAGGTTCGCTGCCTTCTATGGATGCCACTACCATACAAATTCTAGTATCGTCTGCAAAAGTTGATAGAATGCATTGATTGATGTCCCTGTCTGTCAGATATAAAAATGAGAGAGAAGTAGGCGAGTACCATGCCTGGGGGGGGGACAACTTTTTATGGGGTAACTATTATTTTGTGTGGTGACTAGTGTCTTTTGACATAGTTTGTATGGTGACTTGTACTGTGTGTAGTGACAAACTTACGTAATACCGTGTGTATGGTGACTTATATTGTGTGTGTGGCGACTATTAAACTTGGATAATACTACTGGCTAACGCTACACGGGTGTATGAACCAACAACAAATTTTTGTCCAAGCTATTTTTATAGTTACCGAATGCGTTAGCTTCAATGACTAGTTGGCAGAATGGTCTACTTACCTACAACTTGATTTGTTTTGGATGTTGCACTAAGTGAATTTTTTATCTCTTTCTTAGGACAAACATGATGGGGCGTACGAGATCGTGGAGACAATACGGTAAGTACTGTAGTGTTTTTGTGACTGCAGACGCGCGCACTCGCAGTATGCTGCTATCAGTGTGATAATTACACTGTTAGGAGCACCAGAAACGTGCTACTGCATTGTTCCAAGTGATAGTTGCGTTGTTGGAAAACCCAACATCTGCTACTGCACGATAGTTACATTTTTGGTAAACTTCTGCAGTATCCTACGGTTTTGTATGATAGTTACGTTGTTGGGAATACCAGCACTGCTACACTATTCTATATGATAGTTATTTTGTGGGAACACCAGTGTTCTGCGACATACTGCTGTATGGTAGTTACATTGTGGAAACACCTGCTGTGTGTTTTTTAGACAATTCTGTATTACATTGTATGAACATCTGCAGTAATAATAACTTCAGCAGGGCTAAAGCTACTATTACTTGTGGATTACCATCTCACTAGTGTAGTGGAACGTGTTGGGGTGGGGGAAGGTTAGGAGTGTGGGACGGGGTAGCGGGTTGGTAGCGTTCCCAGCTTATGTAACGGCGAGACACCAGCCAGTCGCCTCCCTCCCTCTTTCCCTCCCAGCCCCTTTAAGACTTACTCTGGCTGGTTTGTTCTCTCGGCTTCGCTTCTTCCTCCTCCCTCTCCCTTCCTCTCTTATCCTCCCGGTTTCCTTCCCCTTCCTCTCTTTCTTCACTTGAAGCGTCTGCGTCCTCTTCTCCCACCTTTTCTTTCTCTCACTTCTCCCGTCTCTTCTTCCCTATCTCCAGTCCTTCCCCATCTTTTCCCCACCTGCGCACAGTTCTACATTGGATCCAGGGGTGCCGAGTAGCTCACTGGTGAGAGCATTCGTGTCAAAATCAAAAGTCTCCAGGTTCGGTTCTCAGGTACAGAGAAACTGTATGTCTGACAATGGAAATAGGTTAAGAACTCAGTGGAAATAAATCAGACTATTGTGATATACCAAATTAATGCTACATAATATATTCATAGTGTATGCCTGCAACACTTTGTGCCTTCATACATGGTAGGAATTACCAACATATCTAGCTGTCTTCAAGAGGGAGATAGAGAAGTTCTAGCCAGTTTGATCAGGCCAGTTGTACCTACGATGACTTGCGTGGTGCTGGCAACAACAGGCTGGTTAATCAGGTCATCAGCCTGGTATAGGACTGGGTCGCAAGGGATGATGCCCCTGAAATAGATTACATGTCTGTAATATAATTGTAGTTTTGCCTCAATAAAAGTTAACTTAGGGGGGACTTTGTGGTTTGGGATGAAGCATGCAGCGCCAGCGTGGAGCCCACACCTGGTCAAACATGTCTACCAGCTTGAAAATATTGTTTCCCAGCTAGTCTTCTCTCGGGACTGAAAGAACAGCACTACGAGGAGTGTCTTGAGGGAACTGTACCTAACCACATCAGATACTCATAGGAATTGACGGAATTTAAACTGCGAGGATCACGGACAGGGCATTCCTGTGACATAACTGTAACCGGTTTTGAGAGTTCGTATACCCTTGCAGCCTGGCCTGAGGACAGACCTCTTTCTTGATTGCCGGGACAAGTATAAAAGTCTTAAGAGGAAACCTGGTAAGTGAGTATGGGTGGGTGAGATGACCTGCCTAGTATGGGCAAGTAGACATACTGGAGTGTACCTCCATTCTTGTGTTCCACTAAGTGCTAGATCAATCAGGCTGTGATGGATGTGTGTACCATCGGCCACCAGCAGCAACAACCTGTTTATCCAGGCAAGCACCAGACAAGCCTGATCTAGGGCCAGGCTCTGAGAGCAGGAAAACTCTTGAAACTTATCAATGGTATATCAGAGGTAAAGGTAACTCAATAAGTACAGTTATTGAGGCTAAAACGTTGTGTAGTTTTAAAAATAGGTTAGATAAATACATGAGTGGGTGTGAGTTGGACCTGACTAGCTTGTGTTTCTAGGTCAGTTGTCGTGTTCCTTCCTTAAGTGAATGTGACCTGCCCTGACTGGGTTGGGGAATTGGCTTAAGCCGGTAGGAGACTTGGACCTGCCTCGCATGGGCCGGTAGGCCTGCTGCAGTGTTCCTTTCTTATGTTCTTATTGCAGCCAGGAGTCCACAGACTCGTGTAGCAGTCGCAACCTGGCTGAACTGGTTAAGTCCATTTTCCCCTTGAAAGTCACACACAAGTTCCCTTGAAAGTCACACACAAGTCCCCTTGAAAGTCACACATAAGTCCCCTTGAAAGTCACACACAAGTCCCAGGAATGTCGGAAGACGCTGCTAAAGGGGTGAATTTTGACTATCATGTGATTCTTAGGAAAATCAATATATTTGTTTAGTTTTCTTTACCACATTCTTACATCAGCATTGTTGGTTTAACATTCTAGTGGGATGATCTGCTTGAAGCTGAGTGCTAATCCTTACTAAACCTAATGTGCTTAAAGCACCTTAAGAAAAAAAAAAGATAATTGGATACATTCAACCCCAGCAAACAATTCAATGAGAACTGTACTAGACTGGAACCAGTGTAACTTGCCTGAAGGGTGTTGAGAAATCTATATATGAAGTTAGGTAGAGTGAATATAACTGGTAAGTGAGGACGTACCTTCCTCACGTACGTCTGTCTGTACATGAGAACCAAGTGTATACATGTTCTCGTCAATACACAACCTAGTATATACCTTGTACTTGTCAGTACACAGGAACCCAGTGTATACATTGTACTTGTCAGTACACAGGAAGTGTATCATTGTACTTATCAGTACACAGGAAGTGCATACATTGTAGTTGTCAGCACACAAAAACCCAGTGTATACTGTTTTCAGTACACATGAACCAAGTAAGTATACATTGTACTTGTCAGTACACAAGAACCTGGCATATGTATTGTACTCGTCAGTACACAAGAAATTAGTGCACTGTTCTCATCAGTACTTCAGGCAGTTTGGCAAAATATGCAGTCATCCTTATGGAGTCTTGAACATTGTGCTTAACTGTCCACTTAGGAATATATCCAGATGTCAAGATATGAATGAAAAAAGATACCAGACATATTAAGCAAATTTCCTAAATTTGCTTGCAACAGATAAGTCAACTGTAAATATAAATCCAACTGTATTAATGTTAACCCCTTTTGGAGCCTAGGTCTTTAGCCTTTTATGTTTTAATACGTTAAGCTACCGTGCACAGGATGGATATGGGGTGCACAATAAACTAGCCAGTTCGGCGGCAAAATCTGGTTTAATATAATCATCAGTACAGAAGAACCCAGTGTATACAGTGTTGTGGTGTGTACCGAGAAGAAACAAAGGGGTTGCTTGTTGGGCAGCCAGACAGCACTAGGCTGGTGCCTCGGCTACTGCTGCTTCCTACCACCACTTGGCATCTCAGCTCAGATTACACCGTGTTTTTTTCATTGCCTGTTCAACTTGTGTGGCTTCTGACTTCCGCAGCATGGTTTGGGCACAGAGAGTATGGTCATCATCATAAGGAAGCTCCAGTCATGTAGAACATTCCTTAGGAAATGGAAAGTGATCATGTTCGATCCAAGGAAAAGAAATTACCGCAAATAAGAACATTTCAATAGTATCAAGACACCACCCCTTGAAGGGCGAGTGCTGGTTGGGGGGTTGTTAATATAGGTGAGAGTGTTTAATACAGCGCTGTATGACCCATATGAGTTTAACGTTGTGATAGTTTGGGTGAATGTGGGCTGATGGGTCATGGTGTAGGTTTTTAAACTCTCAGCCTAGTGGTGGCGGAGGCTTGGCAGATAGGTAGGTCGCAGTAAGTGCAGCGCAACTGGCAGATAGGTAGGTCGCAATAAGTTCAACATAACTGGCAGATAGGTAGGTCGCAAGAAGTTCAACATAACTGGCAGTTAGGTTGCAAGAAGTACAACATAGCTCATACAAATATTGAAAGCTTAGACTCCTCCAGGGAGGTTACATGACGCTTGATCTAAGGAATAAGAACAGACCTCCGCTTCCTTAGATCGAACTTGATTAACTTCTATTCTCCTAGGCGCTGTACGACCCCTACGGAGTTAACTCTCCCCCCAAGAATGTTCTAATTGGATGTGAACGTGGTGTTGTGGGGTAAAAACTGCATATGTAGTGTGTTTGCTTGCTTGCTTGCATCTAACTCTAAAGACCACCAGGATATAATTGGTCCTTGTGTGAAGATAGTAGTGTATTCTAGTGCTGTATTTTCAGGTCAGGGATGGTACAATTCACAAAAAGACACACCTTAGAAGATGACGCGTATGATTTGGCAATTGTCCAGGACACACCAATCGTGGTCATAAGTTACCTTCTGTGCGGATTATTTATGAATTGTTCCATCAATGGTATTTTGACTTATTCTTCTCGATAAAACAGTTGCTAGGTGTCTCATATTGACAAAATATGAAGACAAGTATACAGCACTTAGGAGGTTTGTCGTGAAATATTTCGTTTATTAGAAGTTTTTCAACCTGAAAAAAATCGTAGTGGGCGAAGAGTTATCTAATATCCTTAATTGCTGTAATTATTTAAGGGAATGACGGTTGAACGGCAGAATGCCGCAGGAATTTAGTAACAAATATAGACTCCGTTTAAAACATAAAGGGTTTGCTGTAAGCACGTTTGTGTAAGCCTAGAGGTTGTGGTGACGCGAGAGCAGCATCACTAGTGCACTAAGCACAAGCTTCACTTGGTCCGCCACTGCACTGCCTAAGAATGTAAAGCACGATATTATGGGTCGATACACATTAGAGGAGAGCAGGTGGCGGGACGAGGGGGCTGGAGGTAAGCTTATATATATAGAAAACGGGTTTTAAAGTAGCCAGAGCGTGTTAATGTGTTTGTTTGTGAGTTCTGCTTTCACTCACCCGAGTCTTGGAACAACGATATATATAATATATATATATATATATATATATATATATATATATATATATATATATATATATATATATATATATATATATATATACAATTGATTACTTTCTACAGGTCTTATGTATAAACTCAGGGTTACCTGGAGGTTATTCCGGGGATCAA